ATCATTCTGCTGTTTTCAGTCTGATAACCCAGAATACACTGTTAGAAGTTCCTATGACAGTTTGGTTCAAAGTAAAACATTATCAACTAACACACCCCCACCCCTCTTTGATTTGAATCCAGTTACCAGTGGGAAGGTCCCTTAATTTGCTCAATATGCAGAGGAAATAAATGTTGGAGAAGGGGATAATGAAAGCTGAGACAAGATGTAAGGGTGTCACAAAGGGAGACCAAAGTGGAAGAAAATAGAGAATTGGCCAAGAAAATGTCATCAGTGACCCTTGTGATCACTGTTTTGTTGGAATGGGGAGGATGGAAATCAGCTTGGAGAGGGTCCAAGATGCTGGAGACAGGGAATACACCTGCTGTGCTTGTCTTGCCCCAAACCACAGATGAATCCAGTTCCTCCAGAAGCTTCTGAAACAATGTCAGTCCCAGAAGACACACCACTGTGAACATTTCAACAAGGACCTTTGTTCTTTAAATTGTAAAGAATTTTGAAATCTTACGCAGGCGATAAGTCATCTGCCTTTGTGGGTTTCCAGGTTGGTTTTTTTTTTTTTGCTGTAGTTATTTGATTCTGCTAATATGTATTGTAAAGATAAAACAGGCCCAGTCTCAAATACTGAGAATCCAACAGGAGGCAGAAATGATAAGGGAAAGCTGACAAGTGTCATGGGAAGAACCAGATCAAGGGAAGAAGTGAGCAAAACTGATGGAAACTATAATATGGGCTGATAGCTTAGGTGGGCAAAGTTTGTGCTTGGAAAGGGTCATGAATTTCCTGGCTTCACAGGAGGCTGAAGACAACATCACTCAAAGCCTTCTCTGCTCCAGGATGCAATTTCCTCCCTGTTCTACTGACGGATCCTTTTCTGCTGTGTATATTTTTCTTTCAACCAGCTCAGCAAAAGTACTGAAAACTGGCAAGGCAGCTCAGAACAGTAAGAGATCTTGTACAAATTCTTTCTTGCTTCACAGGTTGTTGAGACAAAGTGTAACAGAAGATTAGAGATAAAAATGGCATTTTCTGTCAAAGGTAGTAAAGTATTTCCAGAGCTGACCAGCTGCAGTGCATGTGTCCTGGCAGGTCCTGAAACCAGTTTTTATAGATCTTTCCAGAAAACCAATTAATTTGACTACTGGCACAAGCAGCACAATAACCTTGATGCTTGCTCTAAAAGACAGGGCTTCAGTAAAAGCAAGGGGTCAGATTGTCCATCTTGGTGGCTGTATGGTACAAACCTCTTACTACTTAACAAAATATCCAGACTTTCTGTGTATGAGCCCTTGTTTACCCCTGCAGATAACACAGACCCTCCAAAGGGTACCCTACTGAGAGCAGAAACAACAACCATTTGTGCTTGAAGGGTGTAATGCACATTTGTGGAGAGGGGATTGCTTCAAGAGCCGCTGCTGGCTGTGGACACACCACACTTTAAGCTCTTTTGAGGGAGGAATCACTGGAATTCCCTCCTGAGTGCTGTAAACAGCAGGGATTCGATGAGATCTCGATAAGTGAGCCAGTCACATATAAACTCCTCAAAGTCAGTAAGGCTCCCTGACATGTGGGGTCCCTTTTGCTACTTCATTTGGGCAGGTGGCTTGTGGCAAATGTCCCTGACTTCCCCCAAAAGCTCTGAGCAGAGGAAGTTCTGCTGCCATCTCTGCTTTGGGTATCTTGTAAGGGAGGCTGTGGCTTCTCCACAGGAACCTGTGGGGCAGTTGCGGGGTCTCTCTCCTGGCCTCGTGTAACCTGACTCAGGTTTGGAAGAGCTTGTCATCGTGATCTCAGCCAAAAAAGTGTCAGGTTGTCCTTGTGCAAGACTGGTTTAGCTGACCTCCAGGGGTCTCTCCTGACCTACATTTTCCTGTGATTCCAGGATGGAATGGTAGCGAGCTCAGGACCTCTGCAGCACAGGCTACTTTTATTTCCACTGGATGTGAATAGGAGCATTGTGTGGATACCCAAGGGCCCTGACAGACAGGCCCTGGCAGTGACTGGAGTTTTTACTAGCCTCAGCTCTTGGTCACTGTCTCTGACAGAGGATCTGGTGCTTGCAGCAGCAGGGAAGGTGTGAACTGGAGCAGCTGAGGATGCTCAGTTTGCTTGTTCCTACAAGCTGCTCATCATGGGTCAGTCACGTGTTAGACCATGGCAGCCAAATGCTCAGATAATGGAAGACAGAGCTCTAGCTTTACTCTAGCTTGGAAAATGAAGCCAAAGTGACTTGGGATTGACCTGAGTGTGGAAAAGGGATGCTGCAGTCCTCTACACTGTCTGAATGATAAACAAAGCACAGCATGGCCCCAGAACGCAAATGCTTATGCAGCCTCCCAACTCTGAATATCAGCTTTGAATTGGCTTTGATTTTTATTGCATATTTGTCCATAGCAGCTGTCAGAAAGTTTAAATGCTAGGATTACTGCTGGAATAAGTTCACCCTTCCAAAGCATTGCTATGGCTCTCCCCGTTGGGAGTTTATGTAATGTACTGAGTGGTACAGAAAGTATGCAGAGAGAACATTCTGCTTCCTGGAGGTTTCAGCTTGGTTTGACAGCTCGGTGCTGACTCACTGTCAGGACCTGGGTTTAAGCTCTGTAGTAAAGCACTGAGGGCTGGGAAGCACAGCCATGGACATTGCCACAAATGGATGTGAAACCAGGCTGTTGCCATCCTAGGTGACTTTTTGTTTGGGCACTGCAAATGCCATGGCATTCAGCCAGATACCAGCTTAGAGCAAGGGCTGCTTTAGGTGAAGAGCCAGAAAGGACCCCAAAGTGGCCTCAAAATGCTGGAAGAAAATGAACATTTCTTTAAGTGCTATTTTTGTCCAATATTCTAATTTTGTCTTGTTCCCTTACATAACTTTCAGAGTTACAGCTGAACAAACTTTCAGGGAAGAGAAATATTTCGAATAGAGCTCTAACTTTCTCCAGACTGAGTCTTTGAAATAATCCACAAAAGGTTTCCAGTCCGTGTATGTGTCATTGGACCTTTGTCTAAGAAGGAAAGGGTAGAGAGAGATTTAAGCCCTGTAACAGTTGAGTTTGCTCCTCCGTGGCAAAAGGCAATTATTTAATTTGAGCTGGAGGGAGTTTGGTGAGATGGGGTCCGCACAGCAGAAGCCCTTCTTGCCCCTGCCCTCCTGGCCTGGTCCTGCTCACCCTGCCCACACCCCCTGAGCTCTGAGCACACACAGAGGAAGCTGAGTTGTGCTCAGCTCCGCTTGCCTCCCCTCCAGTCAGTTCCAGCTCCAGCACTGGAGAGAAGGGAGATTGGGTTCTATTCCCTGATGGATGTCCTGGGCAGCTTCTCTGCTTGGGCTTGGAGCAGACCACTGGAGTTGTGAGAGTTAGAGAGCAGCTAACTGAGGTTAAATGTGCTCTTCCCTGCTGCTCAGGGGCCCTGTGAGGCAGCCCATGAGTTAGCAAAACATTGAAGATTTTCTAATGCTCTCCAGGGAGCAGGTGGCTCCCTGGCTGCTGCAGGATATGGCCTGAGAAAGGCTACCTTTTCTTTTCCCAGTTCCCTTTTCATGTTAAATCTGCAGGAAGAAAATCACCAGATGTCTTCTCCAGCCCCTCCCTGCATCTAAATGGGGAACGCTCACTGCAGCATCCCAGAAAAGCCAGTCTGGAGACCAGCCAAACATGAGGGATGGGGAAAACAAGGGCTTGGAGAAATGTGAAATCAGGAAAAATGGCTGTAAATGCACCTGTACCCCAACAGCTCTTCTTTTATAAAAAACAAAGAGGGAACTTCAGTGGACCAGTCGTTCAATCTTTTTTAATAACTGAGAAAATTAGATAACAAAAATATAAAGCAAAATCACAAGACTGGTGAATTAGAATGTTTTCTGGCTGTCTGTCTTTCCCCAAATCACAGCCTATGCTTGGATGCTAGTTTAAATTTGCCTAGTGTTCTTAAGGCAGATGCAAAGCCCAGCAAATTCAGCGGGAGGTTTTTCACTGTCTCCTTTAGACTTTGGATGACTCCTAGCTGTGTAGACAAAATAACAAATACAAGTAATCAACATTTGCCCCTTTTTGGAAACCCAAAAGGGCTGTGGCCATGTGTTTGTTATGTGTTTGTTGTTGCATCTTTCTCTGATGCAGAGTGCAGATCATCAGGACACAATGCGGCAGCGCTTGAGGTCTTGGCCATGGAATTGTTTGTTGAACAGTGACAGACTGCAGCACATCCCTTTCAGGAATGATAAGGAAAGCTTTATGTAAGCCTACATCTGCACTTGGCTGGGCACAATAATGTCATGCTCCTGATTAGCCATAAATTTCTCTGAAGCACTCGTTGAAATAGGAGCGCCCATGGTGACTGATTCCTGTTGCACAGCTTGTGTTGTTCCCACTGCTCCAAACTTGGTGTGCAGCAATGAAATACAGCCCTGTAGAGTGCTGGGCCTTATTTCCTACTCTGTTTCTGCTGCTTGCATTCTGCCAAGCATTATGATTTTTTAGTCCCTGTTAAAGGTAAGTGTTCAAGGCCAGGTTGGATGGGGTTTGAAGCCACCTGACTATGGCAGGTCTCTCCCAACCCAAACCATCCTATGGAGTGAGAAATGTTCTTCTACAATCTTCTCATCCAGCTCATCTGTGGACAGTCAAATCATCTTTAACCCAGTGCTAAAAGATCCCTTTTCCCCTTGAGTAACATCCCTTTCCTAAGCCACACTGCACAGAATGAACAGAGTGAGGCTCAATCTGGATGGGCCGTGTGGTTTTGCTTGGACACTGTGATCCCACCCACAAAGCCCAGAGTCCTCCTGGTTCTGTCACGACCTGCAGCATCTCTGGCTATTGCAGTAGACTAACACTATTTAGGACTTAGGCTTCAAACAAAGGTAGGTTTTTGTCACTGTCCCTGTGCCAGAACCCCCCCCATAGTTGTAACAGAGGTTTCCAAAGCTCTTGTGACATCTAATCCACAGAGGGTTTTCTGTGTAGTGCATCTCTCTGAAGACCAGTAGTGATCTCCTGAGGGGGAGAGGTTAACAAAGACTTCTTGTATATTGAAAGCCTTTTTCTGGCATTAGAAGCAGGGCTTTGGTATTAGATATTGCCTTACCAATGTAATTGCAAAATACACGAATAGCCATTTACTCCATTTACTGGTGTGTCTAAATTATGTCACTATTCACCTTTTTTTTTCATGGTCTTTTAGTCTCTAATTACTGCCCAGACTTTTTTGGGATGTTTAAAAGACAGCCAGATCTGAAGACAGCAAGAAATAGTGAGCAAAGTGCAGTAGAGGACTGAGAAGAGTGTTTCTTTCCATAAAGTATGTCTACTTGCCCTGAATCCAGGGATAACAGCTAGTCTGACATAACAATAACATAAACTGGCTTTCTACCTTTTGCACAGTTAACTTTGGATCCCAGATATGAAGCCTGGACAGAGAAAAGATAATTTTCGTGCATCTCCTGGTGTTTCATATCATTTATTGAAGCTCATCTGATACAGCCGAAGCTTGTTCCAATATTGATCTTTGACATCTGAAGAGAATTCCCCAAAGAGTCCTTCTGGATGGGAAATGCAGCTTGAGCAGAACCAGATTCCATCTGGAGAGGGGACATTGAGGTACCAGGACACCGATTATTTGGAAGCAAACTCACATGTTCTATGTCAGAACCATCATCCTTGCAAATGGCTCAGGAAACAGCCAGTGAGATGGGCAGCCTTTTCTGCATTTGCAAGTAAAACCTGGAGCTCCTCTGTATGAATCAGAGCAGTCAGAGAGAAACCATCAACTAAATCTGAGAATGAACTGAGGATCAGAGAGGCTCCCCTCATGACTTCTGTTCAGCAGCTCTGTATATTGTTTTAAACGACCCTTATGCAAGAAGTATGTTGCCTTCTGAAAGAGGAGATTGTTTTACTTACTTGTTGTGGGAAGGTCTTCAAATTACAGCCCTTCCTGCTTATATTATGGCATTCTAGGGTTCATCCTGCTCCAGTTTCCCTGTGCTGTATGTGATGCAGGATCCATGGCAGATAAATCTACAGCCAAAGCCTGTTGTTACAAGAGAAGCCTCTTGCCAGAGAGCCTGAGTTATTTCAGAGATTTTCATTACAGATTAATGCAGTTAATACTCTTGTGTGCTCTGGAAAGTGTGTGGGAGACAGGTCAGAGTGTCCTGGAGCACAAAGTCACCGTGTGGCTCCAAAGCAGGGACAACATTGAATGGAGACTGCGGTGACAGGGGACAGCTCCAAACCAGTGCTGGACAAAACACTCTTACCCACATTCTGCCTGGAAGTTCTGGCTAATTCCACTATCACAAAGTGAGCCACTTTCCAGGGAGATTAAGGGGAAATAGGTAAATTCAATCGAGGAAGTGGGCTGGTCCCTTTGGAAACTATGACAGTAATCTTGACCAGGATGAAACATTTCTGTCTTGAAATTCCCATTCATGGGTCTTCCAGTCCTGACTGCACATGTCCTTGTTCCCATCAGTGGCCAGGTTGCTTGGGTGGATTCCCAACCATTCCTGTCACTGGTGTATCACACTTTTCACTGCTTGGAGAGATCACAATGTGTCAGAGGAAATGTAGTTCACTCCTCACTCATTGCGAAAACAGGGATGTGATGCAGAGCTGCATCTCCCATGAGGCAAGAGCGGCACTTGGGCTTTGAAACATTTTAGTTTTGCCTCAAAAAAATGCTGTTTTGAGAAGAAGAAGTTTCTGACTCACTTTCTAACATAAAGGTTCTTGATCTCAGCAAGGTGGGGGAGTTCATACAAGCATAATTTCACAGAGCTCTGATTGTCCAAGAAGTAACAGATAGAAATTATTCATAGCCAAGAGCAGTCTTGAGAAAGCATTGCAAGGAATATGAGGTTGGAGCTTTTCAAATCCCCTGGAATCACCTCCTTTCCTGAAGAGCACAGGGAGAGCCTGGTGATCCTAGGTTGAGGGGCAGAGGAGGTGGGTGCTTCATATCCTGAGTCTGGTTTGAGGTTGACTGGCAGCATCTTTCAGAGGATAAAGGCTTTTGCGTGCCTGCTTTGACTGCTTTGATGCACAAACACAAAATAAGGCAGTGTGTGCACATTAAAATGTAATAAATCATACTCAAACCCTTTGAAGCAGCCAGCTCAAAGATTCAGCTCTCAGGCCTGGTTGCAGATCCTTTATCAGGGTAAGGGGCATGAGCCTGAAGCCTGGCACCCTCTGGCCCTGGCTGCAGGGTGATTTCTTTGCTGGGTACATGGCATTTCTCAGGCTGTGCTCTGAGCAGGCCATGCTATATTTAAATACATTTTGCTGGTGAGGAACTAAAGGGCCTCTAGAGCTGCAACTTCCTAAGGACTATTCTGCAGATTCCTTCCTCCTTTCTTTTTTTTTTTTTTGTTTTCCTTTAAAGGAAACTCTCAATCTTCTTAGGAAATAATCTTTTGTTTATGTCATGAAAAAACCTGTGCTCTCCTGGCTGGGAGGGTGCAAGGGCCAGTAGGAAGGAGTGCCACTTGTGTGCTTCGATACAACCAAGCGTGTCTTAAATAAACATATGTTTATTTTTCTACCTTTCTGTTGAATTGCATCCTTGCCAACATAGAAGGTAAAAGTATCCAGTTCAAAGGAGGCAACTGAAAGCGTAGGCTGACATCCTGTTGTAAATATAGAACTGGCCCCATGACAATGCCCTGCTCGGAAACAATGGGAGCTGGGAGAGAGAAATGTGTGAATTAACACAGTCCAGGCAAATGATGAACAGCTGATGGAGGAAAAGAGCTGTGGGCCAGGCTGCCAGCTCTCAGGGCAGCCCCTGAGCTGGCCTTTGTCCCCTTCACAGGGCTGTGTGATGTCTCTGCTGTGCTTCATGTGCCAGCCGTGATGCCACCCTGGGGACACCAAGGACACGGGACACCCTTCTGTGCCAAACCACAGCAGAGATTTCCCTGCCCCCTTGCTCAGACTGGGGCAGAGCAGGAGCTTTCATCTCCTTTTGCCTCGGTCCCACCTTGCTGACAGGACACGTGGCCCTGGGGTGAGGTCAGGTTCCTGATCAGGATTTGCAGTGCAGGGACCAGCAGTGCAGGGAAGCTCAGCCAGACTGATTCCCTGCCCTCAGGACAGCTCTGAACAAATCCCTGTGGCCAGGTTATATCCTTCCTCCACCAGGTATTGGAATGGGCAGTAGACACCCATTTCCATGCCAGGCACTGCTGAGGCAGAGATTTATCCCAATCAGGCTTTGCCTTGAGGAAACTGAGTTACAGGCCTGTGAGGAACCTTAATGATATTTCCTGTGACACCTGAGAAACCTCTCATGACTCAGTAAGAAGCAGCCTGTGGCTGTCAGTTGTTCTTGGCTCTGGCTGGGGACCTGGCAGAGCTCACCAGCTCCTGTCCCATTGAGGAGCAGACTGGGATAAGAAAGGAACCAGGGACAAGACAGGAACCACAAGCCTCTACAGAAGGTTCTCACCTTTACGGCATGCTCATGAGGACATTATTGTGACCTTTTAGGCACTGATGGATAAAGTGGGTGAACTCCCATGAATCCAGGCAAGATTTTCCCTCTGGTGAATCCCTCATATAAACTGTATTAAGTTTAAAAGCATCAGCGGAGACAAGCTTAGTTTAGCTTACGTTCATCCTTGTTTTGATTTGACTAACTAGTTTTTTTGCGACTGTCATGTTGAAAATGATGGCTTGCACTGGCAAGTATTCACCTCACTTTTGTCCTAAGTCACCTTCAGCTCGTGGTCTGAGCCAGCAGGGCAGCGGCCACAGCGATAGCAAGTGGCTGTCACCAGTTTATCTTATCTAGCACACAGAGTGTGGCATTTGAGAGCTGAACCCCTGGGTTTTCTTCCCTTCTCTTTCTGTGCAGCACAGGGTGTGCCCCATTTGACCTAAATATTTGTGAAGTTACATCCTTGGGACAGGCTAACAAAAGGTTATAAACTCATTTGTTTTCATCTTTTCCTGCAGGCTGCAGTGAGGCATTACAGCTGCCTCATGTGGACGCCTCACACCTTCCCCTGACCCAGCTGGTGCTGGCCAACATCTGAGATGGGGCTGTGGGCCTGATCCACATGAAAATTCCTGCTGTCTTACCCTGAGAGACTGTGGCAGCAGCTGCCTCATCACTTTCTGTAGCCACAGACCTGGAGGTACCATTGGGGATAAGAAGGAAATGGTGTTGTGGGAGATCAGGTGTCATGTCACTGTCAGAGGGGCTCTGTGTGCTCCTGGGTGTGATGCACAGCTCAGTGAGCACCTGACAATCAGCAAAGTGCTCTGGGGGTCAGGGTTTTCCCATTGACATTGGGTTCTTTTGTACCTGCATCACCAGCTGTGCTCATCTTTGGAGGAAAATAGGAGTGAGTTTTGCATGTGAGTGGAAGGAAACCAGGCAGCTTAATCTCAAAGGTGAAGTGTGTGTTCACAGTAACACCAGTTTTTACATCTCCCCAGCACTGTTCAACAGCAGCTGCACTGAATTATGCTTGTGGCATCGCTGTTTCTTTTTGGAACAGAGAGGAGTGAGGTGCAGCTTTGGAATTTAAGCATAAGACAGAGCAGAAGGCGTTTTTCCACTCCAGTCTTGGCTTCAACAGTGGTCAAATTCCACAGCAACTCCAAGAGCCTCCCCTAATGTGGGTGCCAGCTGTGCCCAACATCTGGGCTCCCCTGGGTGTGAGGCTGGTCCTGGCTGTGCAAAGCTGCTTTTGCAGGGAGCAGTCCCAGGTGAATGAGGGGAACAGGGTGAATGGGGAACAGTGCTGTGCCTCAAGGCAGTGCTGCATTACAGACCCATGGAACTGGACAGAAAACAGTGAGGATAAAAGATAGACAATATTCTAGAACTGTATGATTCTAGTGTATTTTAGTTTTTAGGCTGCAGCACCTTTGTGCTTGAGCACCACTCCCTGCTATATTTAGAGAGCTCATTCATGCTGTCCTACCAAGCAATCTCTCATCTCAAAAAGCTCAACAAATCCTCAGCCAAAGGTTTCAGAGTCAGTTTCCACTAAACCTCCTCACTGCTGGAGTTCGGAGTGCCTGCTCTGAAACAGCAGCTTCCCCTTTTTGCATGATACCAGTGGGCAGAGGTTTAGGGGGACATTGGGGCATGACTGCAGATCTGGTAGCTGGTGGGAAGGGGGATCCCAAAGCATTCTCAGGAGGGGTAGGTGAGTTATTGCGGGAGTCAGGGCAGCCCAGAAGCAGAAACATGCAGGGTATGAGGCTGGTGCTGCCTGTGATTTGCAGTGTGTGACCAGCAGCAATGTGAGCTTGATCCCACTGTTTGCCATACTCTTATCAGAGCTGCTCAAATGTTTTGCATTAGCTAATCCTTAACCCTTTGCAGATACAGACCAACCCTGCACTGGAACCAAGAGCCAGATCAGAAATAAAATCTTTATAATTTTTCTTTGGGGGATTTTTGCAATCACTCCTTCCCCACACCACTAAAAACCATGTGAAAATCATTTAGAAAGAAGCAGCAACCAACACCCCTCTCCTCTCCCACAGGTGATATTTAAGAAGGACAAAATATCTGTGGAACAAAGTGATTCAAAAACCTCTAGGAGAGGGTCAGAATCCAAAATCGGAGGTGACGTTCTTTGAAAACTGACCAAGGGATTCATTCAGTGGCAGAAGTGCCATTTGAAAAAAAACCAAGCAGATTTCCCAGAGCAGGCCAGACACACCTCAAAGGTGCAGGTCAAAGAGGGTTGAGTGCTTGATGGGTGTAGAGGACTTTCCCTATGTAACTGATAAAGATTTGCTGAAAGAATACATGGATATAAGATTTCTGAGTTCTTGTCCAAGTGTTTTACCATTCTTAGGGTAAAATTGCCTTTTCCTTGTAGCTGGTCTGAATCTCCCATGCTGCAACTTATCTTTAGCTGTGTACTTTTGAGAGAGCAGATTTGATCTTTGTTAGCTCACAGTCTCATGGGAGCTACGAGTCCCCATTGCTGTCTCATGCTGTGTGCTTTGGCCTCACTGGCTCCCTCCCCTTCCTCAGGATTGTGTCCTGGGAATTCCAAAGCTGGATGCAATATCCAGACTTGGACTCCCCAGTGCTGAATACAGGGGCAGAACCACTTCCTTCAATCTGCTGGTTACACTCTCTGTTGTGGCCCAGTACAGAGCTGAATTTTGTCCCTGCAAGGGCACATTGAGTGAGCCCTAGTTGCAATGTCATAAATATCCCTCTCTCTCTCTGGCAGGCAGATCTGCAAAATGTCCCTGACTGACCTCCTGTGAGTCTATATAAGCACCAGGGCCACATAAGGACTTGAGCAATCCTGTATAGCTCCTATTTTTTTGTGCAGTTCCAAGCTGCATCCAGCCTCTGATTGACCCTGTCATCAAAGCCTGCCTTTAAGTGTTTGTAAGCTCACAGCAAACCAGCAGCAAAAGTAAAAACTTGTCTGCTCCTTGAAATCTCTGTCCCAGGATCTTTTGTTCCCTGAACACTGGTTCAGGTCTCTGGGAAATGCAAAGATCTGGGAGAAGTCTCGAAGGCAACAGTGTCCTTCATGTGAAGTCTTGTTTCACTGATCTTGGCAGTCTGGCTGTTCTTGACCACTGACTACTCTGGTTGCAAATGACTAAATAAACAGGAGTGCACCTGGAGCAAGGACTGAGCAGACTGGACAAACTCCTGTGTACAAGCTTTCCACCCCAAAATGCCTGCATATTGATAACTGGTTGATAAATATATTATTTGTGCACCCTGTGGAGGTGGAGAGTTGAAATTCTAGGAGGAAAAGGGGAACCTGTGGGGGCTCCCAAAGTGACATTGTTATGATCTGAATCTACAGCTGCTGAGCACCAGTGAGACTCCACTGATACACAATATGCTGTTTAGGAAAGTCCTTTTTGGGGTGTCCCAAAGCCATCCATATCATCCCTCCTGCTTCTGCCCAGCTGCTCTGTCCCAATCCTGTGCCTGGGGAACACAAGACTTGCTTTGCTCTTTGGCCTCAGCCTTGTGGGTGCTTCCAGCTGTGCTCTGCTACCACATCTGGTGGCACTGGAAATGGAAGTGCCACCAGCCACCCCCAGCAGT